ATCATAAGTGCTAAGAGGAAAAGAGAAGATTCAGTACATTTTGTGCAACCTTCTGTTCAACAACTTTTGAAGAGGCCAGCACAAACTGATTTGACCACACCTCCTAAAAAGATTAAAGGTTAATGTGACATATTATACCAATTTTTTATGTAATGACGCTGGGGTTAGTTCTAGCAAAAGCCTGGATATTCTGACTTGGAAGTCTTTATAATTCTTTTCAGACTTCACCAGTTCTTATCTTGTAACATTTGCTGTAAAGTTGAAGTTGGTAGTCTGCTGGGCTGTGTTGCCGGGGGTCTTGTAGGTGGTTACCAGCGTTTCAGTGAAACATATCACCTGCGGGTGCAGGGTCCAGCTCCTCCAAACTGTTGGTTATATTTCATCACAAGCCAGAAGACCGCTATTGACGTCTTCACTGGTTTGAGTACCTCTTATCTCATGCTATAATGCTGTACATTTCTAGATATCTCACAAAGTAATTTCTGGGACTGAATATTTGGGCAGTTAAGTGCTTATCTTGTTGTAAGACTTTATGCTGGGTGAGAGAATACATTTCCTGCAATGGAAAATATTTTAATCATTTGATTTTACTAAAGAAGGCCTTGGTTTTGGCACACATAAACTGAATCCACTTTATGTGTGAGGCAGTGACTGTGCAACCCTATTTAAAATATGAGTCTATAAGAATATGCCACAAAAAATTTCAGCGCAAGTTTCCGGAAAATCCAGTTCCAAGAAGACAAAATATGTGTTACCTGGTCAGTAAGCTGAAAGCAATGGGATTGTTGACACAAAAATCCAGATAGGAAATTAACTATGCTGACAGAAGAGACATCGGGCGTCATTGCTGTCAGACTTGAAACTTTTACTAGGAAGCCTCTTAAATGACAAATGCAGGAGACAGGTGTGTGAGTATATCTGCGTGAAGAGAGACAAAGTTGTCAGAATTGCAGCTATAAAAGACAATGGCAGTTCATGCTGTGAAGGAACATGATATGGTTGCGAGAATACATTTTTGTAATTGGTTTCTTGCAGGTTCGTATTTGAAATAAAGTTGCAGTAAACACACGCAGCCGCCACGGTGGTCTAGCGGTTAGAACGCTGGCCTTGTAATCCTGGGGTCTCGGGTTCGATTCCCAGCGGTGCCCGAATTTATAACTTGTGTTGGGCAAGGCCGTGGTCTAGGCAACACGGAGTTTTCCTCCGTGGCATCCCAACAATTACTCCATTCACACACAGAAGAAGGCAATGGCAAACCACTTCTGGATCATCTGCCAAGAACGTATATGAACAGGTCCCAGTCCGAGAAAAGGATGGAAGGATCCTGTTCATATGGACCTGTCGTCAGACAGAACACTACAAATAAAAAAAAATAAACACACACACTATACAGTAGTATACTTTACTTGAACCGTGTTGTACGACACTGAATGGTTGGTTGAGAAATGCATTGACAGATGCAGACAAACACAATGCTTCGTGGTGGAAATATATCGCGAGCTGCTCCCCATGCAGAGATGCAGCAGGTTGTGGCCTGACTGGCTGCTGCTTGGCCATGGCCCCCACAGACAAACAGGATGTGGTTGACCCTGAACTTTGTTTAAATTTATTTTAAATTTTAAAAAAATACAACATAGGAGTTACTTGGATATGTAAAAGTTATTAACGTGTTCATAGATATTGACAATTGAACTGGAGAGTAATTGGGAAAATAAATTATATGTGTAAGTATGTACTGAGGAAGGTAGAGCAGGTGTAGGATGGTGGAAAATGGATATTTGGAGATTGAAGGGGGTTAGGTCCTAAATATCTGGGAACAACGATAACAAATCAAAATGATATTTCTGAGGAAATTAGGAGGAGACTAAATTCCAGAAATGCTTGCTACTTCTCAATTCAAAATATTTTGTCTTCCCGTCTGATTTCTAAGAACCTGAAGATTAAATTATACAAAATACTAATTTTGCCTGTTGTTGTTTATGAGTGCAAAACATGGACCCTCACTCAGAGGGAGGAACACAGATTGCAGGTGTTTCAGAATCGGGTGTTGAGGAGGATATTTGGGCCTAGGAGAGAAGACGATGGGGTCTGGAGAAAACTGCATAATGACGAGCTTAAAAATCTGTAACTCCTCCCCCAGTATTGTCAGGGTGATTAAGTCGAGAAGAATGAGATGGGCAGGGCATGTAGCGCGCATGGATGGGACAAGATGTGTGGAAGCCTGAGGGGAAGAGACCGCTGGGGAGACCTAGACGTAGATGGGAGGATAATGTCAGGCGGGATCTATGGGAGATAGGAGTTGAAGGAGACTGGATTTTGTTGGCCCAGGACAGGGTCCGGTGGAGGGCTTTGGTTAGTTCGGTGATGAACCTTCGGGTTCGGTAAGCCATCT